AAAGTATGTACCTACCTTGCAAATGTGTTGTAAGGATTAAATAAGATACCTACATATATATATATAGATATATATATGAGTAATTAGCAAGGTGCCTGGCACATAAAAACTATAAATAACTGTTGTTGCTCTTTCTCCCTGTTTCCATTCCTTTCCCTGTGTGCCCGTGGACTGCATCCCATTTCTCTTCCTGGTGGGGGCATCAGACAAGTTGGCTGGGCTGACTCCAAGCCTGCAGGCCTGGGGAGCTGAGCCTCAGTGCTGCCAGGAGCCAAGGGGGCCTTGAGATGAGGAACCAGGTCAGGAGCCAGGAAGTTGCAGGAACAGAGGAGGGGGTGAGATCCGAGGCAGGGAGGAGGTGATGGTCCCTGGCCTTTTGTCCTGGGCATGTCTGAGATGCCTGGAGCCCGGTCACTAGGTGCTGTCTCTGGAACACGTGAGAGGCCAGTGTGGGGAGAGGATGGTTCAGACACCAGCCCCCGCCCCAGCCCCTGGAATCACTTTCTCCCTCTCCTGACATTAACACGATTTCTGCCTCCGCCTCTCTAGGGCCTGTTTTCGCTCCACATGACCCTCCTTCCCCCGGCTCTGCCCTCGGCCCCTGGCCTGCTCGGGCTATGCTGTCCCCAGACAGTACCAGTAGCCACGAGCTGTGAGCACGGCTGTCACATCTTCACCACAGTGTTTACCACAAGCAAAAAGAAAGGTGGATATGAGTGACCTGTAGTTTCTTCCGGGTGTTTTCTTTTAATTGGCATATCTTCAGAAAAGTGTTCACATCATCCAAACGAAGCATGAACGGTGAACGCCCTGAAACACTTTGTTTGAAAAGGGTCCTATGGGAGATGTAAAAGGGCTCCAAGGATTCTGGAAAGATCCTGTCTGTGCCTTAGAGACTTGTTAGTTTAAAACAAGCTTTTCACTTACGTCCAAAGTGTGAATTGCTTACTCTGAATTTAAGTCCTTCATTCTTCAGAATGTGAAATGCCAGTGCTCCAGGGGCCCATCCAAGGTGCACCCAGCCACATAAACCTCCCGTCACGTGCTCCCTGAGACTCAGAACTTGGCTTTAAATGAGGGGATGTCCTCCCGAGGCTTTGTGGGTTTGTAGCTGCAACTGTGTGCTCCACTCAAGCAGTGCAAACCAATTCTAACACCAGCTCAGTCTGAACATTGAGAAAGTGTAAAAATACTAGCTAATACTTAAAGAGCACTAACTATGTGCCAGGCAACATAATAGCCCATTACGCGAATTATGCCGTGTAGTCCCCACAACGATCACAGGCAGTAGATACTTACTTAACTCCATTTCACAGATGAAAAAACGAATAGAAGTCAAGAGATTGGCAGGAAGGACACAGAGCTAGTAAATGGTACAGGCAGAATTTGGACCCAGGTATGATTCTAGAGCCTGTGCTCTCAGCCACACCAGACTCCAGCATGCCCAAAGTTGGCAGGATGTGGATACATACACATTCTTTCTGGGAGTATAAATTTGTACAGACATTTGGAGAATTATTTGGTAGGCCCTACCACCATTTTAAATTTGCATTATATTTTGATCATTCCTGGGAATTAACAGCACAGGAACCCTTGGACGTGTGAACAAAGAAAAATATGTACACAAGTCTTCATCATAGTATCATTTATGGAAACAATGAAATATCCAATTAATAATGTTAGCTAAATAAATTAGAGAACACCCATGCTATGGAGTTCTATACATACATCAAAAGGAATGGTGCAGCTTTGCTTTTTCAACAATTTACTGAGCATCCATGGGCAGTTGGATATGGCCATGAATAAGCCAGACTCTCTTTGATTCTGTAGACTTAGGTTCTACCAGAGAAATTTGATGCTTCAACAAAAATATTTAGCTTTTTAAATAAATGTTCCAGAATGCTTCTGCTTTCTTATTTCATTGAATAACACAAATGATCACAAAAAGGCACGATAAGCTGTGGTTTGCTCAGATGCTGTGTCACCACTGGGTAAAATGATTTACAGCAAGAAGCTGTAATACCCACACGTATGGACACTCTGTCCTTTGAGCCTCCATAGATCTTAAAAAGTACAGATGGAATTTCCTCACCATAAATAAATCCCAATGGAGGGCCCAAATTATTTTTGTTGAGTTATATATTGCAAAAGCAAAATCAATATGTCATTAGTTGGAACTTGAAGACCAAGGTTTGGGGCCGGCCCGGTGGCGCACTGCTACAGTGCGCCGCTTGGGAGCGCGGTGGCGCTCCCGACGAGGGTTCGGATCCCACGTACAGACCGGCCACTCACTGGCTGAGCGCAGTGCGGGCGCAACATCGAGGGTTGCGATCCCGTTGCCGGTCCTGGTCCGGTATGGGCGCAACACTGAGGGTTGCGATCCGTTGCTGGTCATGAAAAAAGACAAAAAGGAAAAAAAAAAAAAAGAAAACCAAGGTTTAATTATAAAACAAGGTAAATCTGCAAAGCCCACTAACTTGGTGGCTACCTTAACTCCACCCACACTGACTTTATTTTTTAGTGAAATATTTCTTCAAGGGCAAAAGGATTGTCATCAGACAGTATCTCATTCCTTGGATCTCATATCTTGGATTTCCTTTTCATAAGTCTTGAACTGGCTTGCCATAATTTGAAGACCTTCAACACCTAAAAAATAAAAAAAAAAAAGGAGAGCTATGACACGTAGTATATACTGTATATAGTATATAATATGTGCTGACAGAAAGTTTCCCATGATACAATATTAAGGAAATGTTTTAAAGTCATGGCACAGAGCAAGATATTCGGTATGATGCAATTTTTGTTGGAAAAGCTATACATAATGCTTGTGAACACACACACAGAGTTGCATATGCATGGTAAAAGGTCTGGAAAGATACAGACAAAACTGCAACATTCTGGAGAAGGAGAAGAGGGTAGATGCTGAAGGGAGGGCAGATGCTGAAGTAGAATGTGCTCAACATTTGCATTGGGTGCTTCCGTGATGCTAAAATTTTCTACAATAAGTGTATATAATTCTGGATTTGAAAATCGAAGAAAAAAACTAAGTGTACAACAGAGCTAGATGATGAGGGCCATGTCAGCAAGACTCAGGAATGAAGAAGTCATCACAGAAGTTGCAGGGAGCTGTTGATGGGTTTAGGCAGGGAACAGACATGGTCATATTTGCCACACGTGGGCAATGGACTTGGGGAAGCAAGAAGATGCTGGAGACGGGATGACCAGAGAGGAGACTGTGGAAGGACATGAACGGGGAAGTTCTCAGAGCCTGACTGGCATGAGGGGCGGGAGGTGGAGGGAGCCAGCGATGCCCCCTGTCTGGTTCAGGCCGCTGGTGGACGTGCCTTGAACACAGGCAGGGCCACTGGAGGAAGAGCAGGGTTCCAGGTCAGATGAAGGATTCACTGTGGGACTTGGAGCCTATGAGATGACAACAGGAACACCAGGTCGTGGGAAATATGGAGCTGGCATTTGGGAGACGTTGCACATGTGAGTTCATGGTGAACAGCTTTTCTCAGTCATTCAGCATATATTTATTAGGAGTGAGTGAAGGATACATTGCAAACAAATCTATGAGAGATGTAAGTGCTCAGCTGGGACTGGGAAATGCTCTTCCTGCAGATGTATGAATGTGGGGTGTCCACACATCTGAAGATTCTTACCTCTGACCAAAAGAGGGACACCAAGGAGCCTGGGCTCAGGAGGAGGCTGTGAGCTCCCTGGGTGGGTTGCCTCTGCTGGCTTGTCCCTGGGGGCCTGTGCCTGCCCTTAACCCTTCCTTAGGACCCTCTTCAGGAGCCTAGACCAAGATTGATCTGGCTGAGCCCCCTTCCTCTCAAAGGCTCACCACCCAATGACCCCTTCCCCTCATTGCGGACAAGGAGCTCTGAACCAGAATGCTTTTGTATAATCTTTGGACCTGAGCCTGGGAGACACCTCTGGCCTCCTTTTTTCCAGTTTCCTCAGAGCTGTGGGATTTTCTGGACAAGGTACCCAACCAAAGAGAAGTTCACCAATTTATCCCGAATATGTCCAGCTACCTACTGCCAGGCACAGCTCTAAGGACTGGGGCGTGGCTGCAAGCCAGCTGAGCATGCCCCTGCTCCCTTGGAACTCAGGCATCTGTAGTTGGCAACAAAGCTCTTCCTTCCCCAGCTAGTGACATTCTGGAGTCTTCTATGCATAATGGACAATGGTATCTGAGCACTGCTGGGCCCAGGCCGGGGGCAGGGGAGATCGAGGGCCAGCTGACTCCACGCTGGGGAAAGCCCCCCACCAAAGCTGAATTTGGACCTGTGGAGACCTGAAGCCTTGCTAGGATTATGATACCCCTCAGCCCCAGTGTGTAATTGAAAATAAAAACCCAACCAAACCTCAAAGCAAAGTTGAGCAAGATCAACAAAGCTCTGATTTTTGCCCTACGATGACCAGTTAATGCTTTCCTTCAAAATGTTAATTATGAAATCCTTCCTCAAAAAATTATTTTAGGTTCCCCGTGCTGTAATGGTGCTCTTCACACTGTCCACAGCAAAATAGAGCATAATATCATGAGTGGCCCAGGGGATGTATGGCCCCAGGCTTTACTGGCCTCCTCATCCAAGAAATGTGGTCCAGTGTGTGGGTCTTGACAGCAGGAGCATCCTCAGCATGACAGTCCTCGGGGTTAGGTGTTGGCTGCATTGCAGCAGGCCCCACTCAGTGCCTGGACACAGAGCACGTGACTCAGACCTCCTGGCTGGACATGATGTGGAAGTCTGGCCAACCAAGGCAGAGTCCAGCTCAGAGCTCTGGTTCCAGTGGGGAAGGGATGGGCTAAGCTGGAGATCAAAGATGTGGCTCAGTGGGCCCATCAGTATCCAGGACACACCAGGCACACTGGAAGCTCAGACCCACTGCCTGGCATCACTGAGACCCCAGGGTTCCCCATCCCTGGCAAGGCAGCTCCATACTTGGGCAGGTAGAACCTCCAAAGCAGGTGAGGGATTGGCGATGGACACTGTCACCATGTCAAAGTCCTCTTGTTCTCATGAGCTGAACTCTGCTCACTAAATATTTGTGGTCCTCTTTTGCAGAGTGATGAGGTCCTCACCGTCATCAAAGCCAAAGCCCAGTGGCCAGCCTGGCAGCCTCTCAACGTGTAAGTAGCACAGAGACCCTGGCCCTGCCCTGCCCCAGCCTAACCTTGTACTCAAAGCCATTTGCCTAACAGCCACCACATACCAGTTATGTCGTTAATACCTCTCAGGCGAGCAAGCAGGTAAGCTGCTGCCCATGTGTAGAGTATCCCAAGTGCCCCTGTCCTCTCGGGAATGCAGGCTTGGTCTCTGTACCCCCACCCACCCTGATGGCTTTAACACAACAGAGGACCCAATTCAGACGTAATGATCAACCTGTGTGTTCACTCATGCTCTCAGCACAACAAACTGATCACTCATTCGCCCTCAGAGCACACACGTGTACTCACTGTAAGCAAGTCTGACTCATGAACGCCAGATTCGCCCTGGGTCCCATTCTCAGTCCCCATCTCTTCTCTGTCTACTCCATCCTTTGGAGATTTCATCCACACTTGAGTTTTTGGTGACAAGGGATATGCTGATAGTTCCCAAAATTACTACTCCCCCAGGGGGGTGGGTGGATGGATGGATGGATGGATGGATGGATGGATGGATGGATGGACAGATGAATGCACAGACACATGGATAGATGGATAGATGTTGTGATATACCCATCAGTTTCTTGGACATCTCCCTATGAATGGCCCACATGGACCCTGAACTCATCGTGTCCAAAATGGAATCTGTCGCCTTTGCACAAACCTGCTCTTCTCGCTGTGGAGAAACCTCAAAAGTACAGTGAGCCACAGCGTCCTTAACATCTCACCTATCAGTCCTTACCTGGCCATCCTCCTGCCATGAGTCCAAGCCACTGTCCTTTCTCACCTGGACTACTTCACCACCTTCTCTTCTACAGTCTTCCCCAACCCAACTCCTCATCCTCACTGTTACCAGAGTAATTTTTTAACAATCCAAATCTGTTGTGTCCTCCACTTCTTAAAATCCCTCCACGACCCCCCTTGGCCCCCACGATCCAGTCCACACTGCTTAGTTTAGCTTGTTAGGCCTCAGTGGGCATAACTCACTGGCCCCTGCCTCCTGTTCCTATGGGCTCACCTCCCGTGGCTCCCGGCTCTGTGCCTCACTCCGGCCACCCTGAATCCTGTGCAGTTCCTTGAACAAGCCTTGATTTCCGCTCACCCTTTAAGGATGCCAGGCATGGAGCAGATGACGTTCCCAGTCAACCACAAGGAAGGGGCTCATGAGGAACGGCTTGGCCAGCCCCTCTATGGAGCTGTCTGCATCCATTAACAATGGCACTGACAAAGACAGCAGCAACCCAGGGGTGTGTGAGATACTGCTCAGTGGGAGAAAAGCAAAGCCAACGTGATAGGAAGGGAAGTGCAAGACATTCAAAGGAAAGAAAGAAAGGCTCCCCGGGGAAGCTCAGGAGGGGCTGAGGACAGCATTCACCATGGCCGGCTGGGAGCAGGGAGGCTGTCGTGGGCACCTGGTGCCTGCCTGCCTGACCATTCAGCAAGCTGATGGCTCATCCCCCACTGTGTGCCAGCCCTGTACACGCAGTCCCCACTCTTTGGAGCACTCAGCCAAGACAGACAATAAACAGAGTTCTACCACCCCAGGGGAGACAGACAATAAACAGAGTTCTACCACCCCAGGTCTGCCCTCTGCACAAGTCCAGGCAGCATTGTACATACAGAATATATAAACTATAATGGCATCATGATAGCCCTATACCCTCCAAAAGGATAAGTGTTAGGATAACAATATGAGTGCCTCTGGAAGCCCAGAGAAGGATCATAACACAGCCCAGGGTTGGGGAGAGGGCGGTGAAGGCTTTGTACAGGAGGCACATGGGCTGAGTCTAGAAGGATGTTCTTTGCCCTGGTCAGAACTGATCCTGGTCTCAGTGGAGCTGAGGCCCTAAGTAGAGGCCTGAGGAGGGAAAACGAGGCCGAAATGTGGACAGCTGGACAAAGGCAGCTTCGCTGGCTGCACGGAGGCCTTCTCTAGCCTGTTGTGATCACTAAGCCTTGCTCTGGATCTTCTCTGAGGAAACTCACACCAGGGCAGTAGAAAACCTAACTAGCCCAGGAAATGCCTTTCTCTCCCATGAGAAGCACCAGGAGGCAGGGCCTCCTGCCCTGAGCTGTCTCCTGGCAGGCGGGCATGTGCTTGACTCGTCCTTGTCCCACCGATACCACAGATGTGAATTCACAAAGCCCCTCTGGGTTTCTTTGCATAATTAACATCAATTAGCAGTCAGGTCACCCTGAGTCCTGTTTGCTCAGGCTCTCTCTTCAGCTTCTCCCACTTCCCAGGCTCCCAGAACCTACACGTGGAGAACCCCTCACCTTTGGTCCTCTAAGAGGGCACGGGCTCCAGGGCAGGTGGGGGTTGGGGGCATCGGGGTCACAGAGTTTGTGGATGCCAATTTGTACACCAGTAAGGAATCCTTACACCAGTTTTCCCTTGAGGAGCCTGGGTATAGAAAGATGTAAACTACAAAGCAAGGTGCTCTCAGGAAGGAGAGGGGAAGGGAAGGAGAAGGGAAAGAAGGAAAGACAGAGAATTCCTTTTACCTGAAGCATCTACTACATGCCCAAGTACCTTAGTAGGCACTTACATTTGTTACCCCACTTAATCCTCATCATAACCCCATGAGGCAGAGATTGCGATGCCCATTTTGCCAATGATGAAACTGAGACTGGAGGTTACATGGCAGGTCCAACATCATCATCTGGTTCCATCAAGAGAGGAACTGGAAGTCCACCCACACCCAGCTGACTCTAATGCCCATGCTCTTCACAAGATCAAGGCCTTCCAAATAAGAAACAATTCATTCATTTTTCCATTTTTTTAATTAATCAAGACAGATTTATCTGCCAATCAGGCTTCTGATCAGCACAAAATGACCACACCAAATTGTCTGACTCCACAGACAATCTGAGTCAGCACCACAATAAGATAAAACAAAATCTTGACTTTCACTTTCCCTGTATCCTTCTACCAAGGATGACTGAAACATTTATTTCGCCCAACAAATATTTAGTGAGGGTCTCCAAAGAAAAGAACTATGAAAAGTACTTGGGGATACTCTGGTGAGCAAGCAGAAGCTCTGCTCATGGGGCTTCCAGTTTAATGGGAAGAGACACTTATTAAATGATCATGCAAATAAGTGTGACATGTCTACAAAGGAAAGGCATAAGGTGCCATGAGAGTATGTGAAGGGGACCCTGACCCAGCTTGACCTCTCTGGAGGTCAGAAATAGCTTCCCCGAAGAAATGGCAATGGGGCTAAGATCTAAGGAATCGGTAGGAATTAACTAGGTAAAGAAGCAAAGCAAGGGGAGAACATTCTAGAAAATCTAGAGAGACCATCATGTGCAAAGGTCCTAGATAAGGAGGGAGTAGAGCATAATTAAGGCACTGGAGGGCTATGGGGTAACCGGTTCCAGAAATTAAAAGACAAGCTTGCTGTGGGGCCAACTCATGTAACATTTAAAATTTTGATTTTTACATTAAAAGTAATGGGAAATCATTGAAGGGTTTTAAGCAGGAGGATGGTATGATCAGATTTGCATTTTTAAAAAAACAACAACAATAACAACACTCTGGCTCCAACATGAAAGGATATAAGAGGCCAGATCAGCGTGGAGGCTGTTGCAGAGAGCCAGGAGAGAATTAACCATGAGTTGGACTGGGCTGCTGCTGCTGGTTGTGGCAATGGAGAGAGGTGCAGAGATGAGAGATATGTGTAGGGGGCAAGATTAACAGGCTATGTGATGGGCTGAATAAGGAGGGTGAGGGAAACAGAGCCGTCAAATGCTTCCCAGGATCTGTCTGGTTGATGATCTAAGGGGTTAAGGGAGCTGTTCATAAGACTGGGAACATTAGATGAAGTTTGATGGGAGAGATCATGAGCTCAGTTCTGAATGTGTTAAGAGACCTTCAAGATGCCCAGTTAGAGGTGTTAAGTACACAGTTAGCTACAGAGTTCTGAAGCTCAGGACTCGAATTCTGCACTGCGATATAAAACTGAGAGACATTAAGGAATAGGAGAGGCTCTGTGCCAAGGGCATAGAAGAGAGAGAGCCTGAGAATGAGTCAAGGGCCTGTGACTGGGCCTCAAGGAGCTCCAGCATTTGATGCTCAGGACTTGCCTGCAAAGGAAACTGAAAAGAAGTAGCAAAGAGGTTGGGAAGGAAGCTTGGTATCTGGGAAGCCATGGGAAGAAAGTGTCCGAGGAGAGTAGTCAGCTGTGTCTAGAGCAGGTGAGAGATCAAGTACTGCGAAATGCCCTTTGGATTTGTTGACATGCAGGTCATTAGTGACTTACTGAGAATCCTTTCTGCTGAGTGATGGGGGTAAAACATCCCCGAGGAGGTGAAATGTGAAAGTGTGGTAATAGAGTCAGACCGGCAGCAGGTCCGAGGGATGAATGTCAGTGGAGCTTTTCTTTTTTCTTTTTCTTTCTTTTTTCTTTTTTTTAAGATGGGAGGAACTTTCTGAAAAATTGAAAGAAATATTTTGGGACACCTTCCCACACTTCATGCATTCCTCAGACTTCCTGAGACCCCAGTGGAACAAAATTAACTGACGGCAAACACTCAGACCTCCCAAATACCCAAAAACCCTCCACTCAGTGCTACCAGCTTGTTAAGGGAAAGGAATTTTCCTTTGATTTTCCCATAACCCAGTCTCCCCTTTCCTCTTCCAAATCTCATTAGGAAGTCAAATTAGGAAGCCTACAGCAGCCAAGTTCTGTTTTGCAGAAACAGCTCTCCCCTCCTCACAGAGCCTGCTCGATTGAGGTTAATGGGATTCCAGCCTCCCTCGGCCCAGTGGAAAGCCAGGGTGACCTACTTTGCGAGGTCCTGCCCGTGAAAACTGACTTGTTTTTCAATGATCTTCATCTTTATCCCCAGGACCCCTTCTCAAAGGACAGCTATAAATGAACAAATTAGCTGCTGACTTGTTTAGCTCAATAAATCAAGCTTTGGCTCCAACAGCCCAGAGTGCAGGTAGAGACAGGAAAGACAGTTTCTGAAAAAAACCCACA